TCGTACAGGTCTCCGTACTCTAGGCATCGTAACCGATCGTAAAGGATCTCAAGAACCAAAATCCGCCAACGTTGATTCTTTACTGCGGCTGAAATATTCATTTTTAGAGCGTTAGTGAACTAAAAAAAAGCAGTATAAAAACAGGAATGTCCAACTGATAAGGCTGAAAATTTTTTCACTTGTTATTTACAGTAAGATAAATACATTCACCAACTTTTATTAAAATAAAACCATTTAAACTGGGTGTTCGTATTTATATGTCACTTAGTATAATTGCTCGACACCTTTTGCTGTGTGATAAGCTGATAAGGTGATAATTTTAAATATTCCATTTTTACATTACAGCCATAGGGTTGCCATGTGAAGAAAAACCCTTTGTTACTATTTTAATCTGACGCAAATTCCTTCTAGTGCGAAGTTAGAACTTAGAGTCTGTAACCGCAAGGTATTGCCTTTCTGATTTCTAACTTTTGACTTCACCTGTCTGGGGTTGCTTTTCGTAGTCCTTTGTCTGGACTTGACAAAAACCGTAGTCTCTTTTGGAATTTCCGGTCGTTCAGTGCGATTTTCGTTTCTCTTTCGGAGAACCTTTTCAGCTTTTTCCTTACATTTATCGCTTACCGACTGATATAATAGTTTGAGCTCGTCAACACGCTTTTGGTTGTATTGTTCATATACGTCCTTACTTAATTCGACATTTGTTACATTTGTTCTGTTGAAAGGAGTATAGATGAGTGAGTGGGGAGAAAAATTCGTTGAACTATGGACACTTTGATTATAATTCAAAATCGCGGTCACCATGAGCTCCTTTATATCTGTTTTCGGGTTTTGAAGCCTTAAAGCACTTAGTTTTTCTTTAAGGGTACTGTGGAATCTCTCAACGGGAGAATTAGATGAAGGATTCTCAGGAGTGGTAAAATGGACTTTGATTTTATGTAACTCGCAGAATTCTTTGAGAGTTCTGGCTGTGAATCCGGCTCCGTTATCACATGTTATTTTTACAGGAATTCCATGATGGGTGATAAAATTACGTAGTTTTTCAAGCAAAGTTATTGAATTCTCATCAGTAATATGATAGGCCTGCCCAGATTTAGAAAATAAATCCAAAATAGTGAAAAACTTGTTGCTATCAATTTTGAAAGTATCAACCTGAATAATTTCGAACGGGTATTTTGCAATTAGCGGTCCTTCATACGGTGATTTGTAAGGATTTCTATCGTATTTAGCTAAATTGCAGGTCTCGCAGGAATTGATTAATGCGTTTATGGAATTTTTCATCTTGGGCCAATAGTACCTTAGTTGAAATGTCTTTAGTGTTTCTTGAATTCCGTTATGATTTTTTGAGTGATATTCTTGGGACTAATCTTGTTTGTTCCCCTTCGTCGGTGATATCTAAAAGTAGTTTATTTGTAAAAATTAGATGAACCTCGGGGTCAAACAGGGAGCATACCAATTGTGTGATAATCGGTTTCAAGGGTTCATTATGACAGAAGATACCATATGTATTTTTTGGATCGACATACTCAATAAGTGTTTGTGATATCTGAGAATGTAAACTATCGGGTAAAAGCGTCACATATAATCTGTATTATTTTTGAAAATCTCTTTTCTGGTAACTTTATAATTATCCAAAATTTTGAACTCAAATTGACATTTAAAATAATTCAGTCAGTTTTCTGAAAAAGGAAGTACATTAATAGGGTGCTCTTAATTATTATTGTTCATCGTTCCCGATCTAGAAGGATTGTACGAAGATGACTGATCACAGTGTTCTACTTCCCCTTGTATAGAAGTTTGGTTAGTTTCACGCTTGTTCTCAAGACATGCTCTTACTAAAGGAATCTGTAGGTATTCAGGATTTTCCTTAGATGTACAGGGTAGTTGGTCATCTACGGCGTTAAGTTCTCCCTTGATAAGGCATCAGCGACGCAATTTTCCTTACCCTTTTTATAAAGGATATCATAGTCATATTCTTCGAGGCGGACCTTCCAGCGTGCTAGCCTGGATACCGGGTATTTCAGATTAAAGAGCCAAGTCAGCGGTTTGCAATCTGTTTCAATTACAAATTTTTTTCCATACAGATAAGGGCGAAAATGTTTTACAGAATCTACGATTGCAAGCAATTCCCTCTCCGTTGCGCTATAGATACAGACTTCAAAAGGTACAAAATTGCTGTTGTAGATTTGTTTTTAGGCTTAAAAAGTTAGATCGAATCTCAGCTAAAATAAATGAGTTAAAATGGTTAAAACTGGAATATACTCATAAATATTTATACTTCTATTTTAGTTCACCGTATTTTATCATCACAGAGCCCTGCTTACCTGAAAAGAAAATTAGTCTTTAGGCGTGATTTGCATGATTTAAATACGAGGTTCACTAATAAACTTTCTCTTCCCAAGTTTCGTTTATCTTTATTTAGAAAATCTTGTTCATATAATGCTGTTACTATATACAATAGTATCGATGACGCGCTTAACCCATTCGCAGCATTGTTCCAAAATTGGAACTTGCGATATTTCGGATGTAGTTGAATAGATGGAGGCACAAGTATTAATCAGAACCATTGTTAGCAATTCACAGCATCGGGAGCACCTGTTTTCAGTAAACTTTTTAGGTTATATTACGGCAGTAAACATACCAGTGCAGCTAGGTTATTTTATTTTTAAAACAATTTTTTTGTGTTATTACTGGCGCGTAAACAATACAAACTGCTGAAAAATTGAAGTTCTCTATAAACAGAAGCAAGGTCTGGCTATTGTTTTATTGGTAAGTTTGAGTAAAATAAGTATCTTTTCTCATTTGTACCTTCTATCGTCACATTTTGTTATGTTCCAATAATGGAACATGGCTACTTCTATTGCACTTTTGTATTTATTTTATGTTATGGATTGCAAAACCTTTTACGGATCTGATCTTCGCAATGAAGCGGTTGCTAAGGGGATGTCAAAAAATAAATTCCGAGATATTTTGAGAAATTTGCACTTAAACACTGTTTTTCTACAGCATACCCCTCTTACTCAAACCACATCAATATCTGTTGACGAATCAATGGTACCATACTATAGTCACCACAGTTGCAAGCAAAGAATTCAAGGAAAGCCTATTAGATATGGGTTCAAATTTTGGTCTGCAAATGTATCAAACGCTTATCTTGTGAACACTGAACCATATCAAGGCAAAGGAACAATATTAGGAGATAGCGACCTTGGCCTAGGAGCATCTGTTGTTTACACCTTTGCAGAAAAATTGAAACAGCAATTTCCAGATCAAAAATTTAACTTCTTTATAGATAACTTTTTCACGGGTCTTCCACTGATAAAAAGATTAAGTGAACTGGATTTTGGATGCACAGGTACGATCCGGCAAAACAGACTAGAAAAATGTCCTCTAAATAAATCTGCAATGAAGAAATCGCATAGGGGTTCTATGGACTCATACGTTAATTCAACTAAAGAAGTTATTGTTATGCAATGGAAAGATAACTCCATAGTCCATGTTGCTTCAAACTGCTTTGGCTTGCAGCCCACAAAAGCAGCACGCCGTTATTCTGCTGCTGACAAAAAATACACGTTGAGGGGTCCCGATTGAGCCCCCAGTTAAATTACTGCTACCGAAAGACTTGTTTTTTAAAAAAACTTTATTTCGATTAACGGTACAAAAGGACTTTTGTGAAACCTTGTAATATGCTGATACAGAGGATGTTAACATGTGAACTTCAAGGCGCGAGATAAGATTCCATAGCGTAGCGACAATGCTAGCAAGAAATACAAGTACCAGGTATTAATTATAATATTATATAAAATACAGGGTGATGATGGATATAACTTACATACCTACGTTTCACATTTATCAATAAACCCAAAACAAAAAATAAAAAATGGAAAACATACTCAAGTTATTAAAAACTAACACTACATTTTGGGGAACAGAAAATTCCATCTTTTCTAGAACCTCACATCTTCATCAAGTGCCAAGCTAGCCGACAGTGACGTGTGAGACTGACATTATTGACGTACGATCGATCAAAAGAAATCATCTCGTTACATGTGTTGCCTACCTCACAGGGATTACGTGAGGTATTAAGAGCAACGTGCGTTGTAGTACAAGATGAAGTTCAAAAATTATTTTCAAAATTAATACATGTTATTATGGAAGGAATGTGTTTTCGATGTTGTCCTTCAAACCGTGTTAGGTAATACGTAAGAAACTCAAAACTTGAGGAAAGATAAATAGAAGGAAGATTATTTTGAATAATGAAATTAAGCAACTGATACAATTACTGAGACATATCGATGTTGGGAGAGATATGATCTCTTTCCAATTTTTAGTACGCTAAGTTGCTTGACATCTGCTTTTTTGTTCATGCAATTGTCTGTCATAAAAATGTCTCTGGCAAGGAACTGAATGTCATTATATCCCATTGAATGCCTTGTAGTGTGAACATGTGATGCTAAAGCACATCTTTCTGGATGCAGTCTGTAGTCACTTTTATCTGAGGTTATTCTACCTTTTAACGATCTAGAAGTTTGACCTATGCGAGAGAACAGTTCTTGCTTTTGATGGAATAGACAATATTGGATAAACTAGGCGGAGGAACTCTAACGTTCATTTTAAAAATACATTGTTAGCTGTGAGGGCCGATTCGTAAGCAATACGACAATTTATAGTGTTGCAAAGTCTAGAAAGTTTCGGTGTTAGGTCTTTAATATATGGGAGGACTACAAAACTAATTCTGGAATTTCAATGAACGTCTGTATTGTTGTTATTGTTGGAATGATCGTCATTAGTATTGATGGAAGGATTGGGGTTATTGTTGTCATTATTGTGTGAGAGCGGTGTAGCTGTAGGAAAGCTGAATAAAATTCTGTGAATCAGGTATCTGGGATAACCATTATCAATGAATAATTATAATTATATGATTTTAATAATTTGATAATTTTATTCCTTTTAGAGCGTTCTTCTTGAGCAAGAAGCTACAAGAAAAGACAGACCTAACATTTTGTCGAGCATATGTATATCTTATGACTCCAGTGGACGAAGGTCACAGACGAATCGACCTGCAGTATCTGGATGAAACTATGTATAGCTTATTTGACAGAACTGTTGAAGATGTGAAGAGGAATGAAACTTTGACGCGAGTTATACTAACTCAAAATAATTATATTTTGGATGCGCTGGCCCATGAAAGAGAATACTTTAAAATCAGGTAAACAGAAAGCATTAAACACTTCAGTAACTTAGAAAGTGACTTTGAAATTGATATAATTGACCTAGAGAAGTTATTCGAAAATTTGGGTAGACATGGTCAAGCCACTTTAGTATGTGGGGTTTTAATATTAACTTTGACGTTACAGCACCCAATACCTCCGCCCAATTATGCGAAGCATTATGTAAATGCTACAATTTCATCAGACTTATCAACGAATATACTCGAGTTCAATTACACTCCAAAACTATAATTGATAATATACCTTCAAACATCGATGAAAGCTGTCGGAGAGCTAGTGTTATACCTGTTGATTTCTCAGACCACCTCCTACAAATGGTTTCATATGAATTACTCTCACCAGTATCGTTCTTCCGTCATTTACTATAAAAGAAATTTCATCGGACAGCGGTTGACGAAATTTTGAAATGTGTATATCAAGGACATTTCTGTGAAAATTAATTCCGGAATTTGAATGAACGTCTGTATTGTTGTTATTGTTGGAATGATCGTCATTAGTATTGTTGGAAGGATTGGGGTTATTGTTGTCATTACTGTGTGAGAGCGGTGTAGCTGTAGGAAAGCTGCATATAATTCTGCGAATCAGGTATCTGGGATAACCATTATCAATGAATAATTATAATTACGTATATGATTTTAATAATTTGATAATTTTATTCCTTTTAGAGCGTTCTTCTTGAGCAAGAAGCCACAAGAAAAGACAGACCTAACATTTTGTCGAGCATATGTATATCTTGTGACTCCAATGGACGAAGATCACAGACGAATCGACTTGCAGTATCTGGATGAAACTATGTATAGCTTATTTGACAGAACTGTTGAAGATGTGAAGAGGAATGAAACTTTGAAGCGAGTTATACTAACTCAAAATAATTATATTTTGGATGCGCTGGCCCATGAAAGAGAATACTTTAAAATCAGATAAACAGAAAGCATTAAACACTTCAGTAACTTAGAATGTGACTTTGAAATTGATAGAATTGATCATGGAGCGGTAAGATTTGGGTGGCATTTACTCATGATATTTAACAACTAAAAGTAAAGTTATTTAAAATTTTATTACATTATTGCAACTTGTCAGGTTGTCTGAATTTTAAATTGTTCATTCTGCACCTCAGCATTACTTTGGTTTTAGAAAAATGGCGTCAAGTATCGGTGCGAGCTACAAATGCATTAACTGTGATGGTGAGTATTCTGACAGTTCTCTAGAAACCATTGTGGATTCAACAAATAGAGAAGACGCACCTTACTCTATTCAATATGAAAGACTAAAAAGTGAAAATGAGCTGTTAAGGAAGCTATTAAATGAAATGGAAGAAGCGCAGCCATCAAGCGACAAGAAGGAAAAAGTGTAAACAGTTTCATGAAGGCAACTACGCGACAGATAAAATCAAATCCAGCGCGGATGGTCGGTAGAACATGGAACGGCAGGACAGTCACAACAGCTGTTGCCGGCAGTTCGCATGATATCTCCGGTACCACTAGATGCGATTCGGACGAGGCTTGTCACAAGACCACTGTTGCGGATAACGCATGGATCGATGACAGGCGCTCTCGCAACAGGGAGATCCAAAACATTAGTATTATACGTAGCTCTAAAGTAGTTAGTAACATTAAGGCTTATTTGTATCTCGCTTGCAACCCGGCACTAAAGCTGAAGATCTATCGTCATTTCTTAAAAATAAATTTCCAGATGTTACATGCGAAACTATTACACCGAAACATTCAAGCGTATATGCCTCCTTCAAACTGACAATTGATGCCGCCCACCTAGACTCGGTTATGGATCCATCGAACTGGCCTGAAGGCGTATAAGTTTCCAAGTGTTTTCTGAGAAAACCGTTGCAGAGGAGTCTAACTTAGGGTTTGAAACCAGCCTTGATTAAAATCTGTCACCTCAATAGTCGGGGCATAAGTCGCAAAACTGAGGAAGTTGAAAAGTTGAGCTTCCCTCATGTGATAAGTTTTTCTGAGACTTGGTGTGATAGCGTCGAAATGAGTAGTTTTTATCTCAATTCTCATAAGTTGTCAGATTACTTTTCTCTTAGCAATCTAAGAGGAGGTGGTGTTGCGATATTTATTAGAGGTGATATACCTGTTAGTGTGATCAACTGAAAAATTGATAACGTAGACTCATTATTTTAACATGCAGTAGACGGAATTGAAATCAACTATCAAAAAATAGTCATAGCTTGCCTCGATCGCTCTTTTTCGGCCATTGTTAATTTTTTTCTTGAGAATCTAGTGAAGTTATTCGAAAATTTGGGTAGACATGGTCAAGCCACTTTAGTATGTGGGGTTTTAATATTAACTTTGACGTTTCAGCACCCAATACCTCTGCCCAATTATGCGAAGGATTATGTAAATGCTACAATTTCATCAGACTTATCAACGAATATACTCGAGTTCAATTACACTCCAAAACTATAATTGATCATATATTTTCAAACATCGATGAAAGCTGTCGGAAAGCTAGTGTTATTCCTGTTGATTTCTCAGACTACCTCCTATAAATGGTTTCATATAAATTACTGTCACCAGTATCGTTCTTTCGTCATTTACTGTGAAAGAAATTTCAACGGACAACGGTTGACGAAATTTTGACATGTGTATATCAAGGACATATCTGTGAATCATTCTGCAGGCGACGATGGTAGAGGTAACTCAGAATCTCGTGAGCTGTGGCCTTGAATGCGCAGAGTGCAGAAAAAATACGCTGGAAACGCAACTACATTAGCTCAAAATATACAGGGTGGCGCATCGAAACAGACGCATTTACTGGCAGCTCAGTTTTTTTTTGAAGATCAATACATGTTATTATGGAAGGAATGTGTTTTCGATGTTGTCCTTCAAACCGTGTTAGGTAATACGAAAGAAATGCAAAACTTGAGGACAGATAAGTAGAAGGAAGATTATTTTGAATAATGAAATTAAGCGATTGATACAATTACTGAGACAGATAGATGTTGGGAGAGATGTGATCTCTTTCCAATTTTTCGCAGTTCAACAAGTATGCATAAGTACGCTAAGTTGCTTGACAACTGCTTTTTTGTTCATGCAATTGTCTGTCATAAAAATGTCTCTGTCTAGGAACTGAATGTCATTATATCCCACTGAATGCCCTGTAGGGTTAACATGTGAAGCTAAAGCACATCTTTCTGGATGCAGTCTGTAGTCACTTTTATGTGAGGTTATTCTACCTTTTAACGATCTAGAAGTTTGACCTATGCGAAAGAACAGTTCTTGCTTTTGATGGAATAGACAATATTGGATAAACTAGGCGGAGGAACTCTAACGTTCATTTTGGAAAATACATTGTTAGCTGTGAGGGCCGATTTGTAAGCAATACGACAATTTAAAGTGTTGCAAAGTCTAGAAAGTTTCGGTGTTAGGTCTTTAATATATGGGAGGACTGCAAAATTAATTCTGGAATTTGAATGAACGTCTGTATTGTTATTATTGTTGGAATGATTGTCATTAGTATTATTGGAAGGATTTGGGTTATTGTTGTCATTATTGTGTGAGAGCGGTGTAGCTGTAGGAAAGCTGCATATAATTCTGTGAATCAGGTATCTGGGATAACCATTATCAATGAATAATTATAATTATATGATTTTAATTATTTGATAATTTTATTCCTTGTTGAGCGTTCTTCTTGAGCAAGAAGCAACAAGAAAAGACAGACCTAACATTTTGTCGAGCATATGTATATCTTATGACACCAGTGGAAGAGGATCAAATACGAATCTACTTGCAGTATCTGGATGAAACTATGTATAGCTTATTTGACAGAACTGTTGAAGATGTGAATAGGAATGAAACTTTGAAGCGAGTTATACTAACTCAAAATAATTATATTTTGGATGCGCTGGCCCATGAAAGAGAATACCTTAAAATCAGGTAAAGAGAAAGCATTAAATACTTCAGTAACTTAGAAAGTGACTTGGAAATTGATAGAATTGATCATGGAGCGGTAAGATTTGGGTGGCATTTACTCATGATATTTAACAACTAAAAGTAAAGTTATTTAAACTTTTATTACATTATTGCAACTTGTCAGGTTGTCTGAATTTTAATTTGTTCATTCTGCACCTCAGCATTACTTTGGCTTTAGAAAAATGGCGTCAAGTATCGATGCGAGCTACAAATGCATTAACTGTGATGGTGAGCCTTCTGACAGTTCTCTAAAAACCATTGTGGATTCAACAAATAGAGAAGACGCACCTTACTCTATTCAATATGAAAGACTAAAACGTGAAAATGAGCTGTTAAGGAAGCTATTAAATGAAATGGAAGAAGTGCAGCCATCAAGCGACAAGAAGGAAAAAGTGTAAACAGTCTCATGAAGACAACTACGCGACAGATAAAATCAAATCCAGCGCGGATGGTCGGTAGAACATGGAACGGCAGGACAGTCACAACAGCTGCGGCCGGCAGTTCGCATGATACCTCCGGTACCACTAGATGCGATTCGGACGAGGCTTGTCACAAGACAACTGTTGCGGATAACGCATGGATCGATGTCAGGCGCTCTCGCAACAGGGAGATCCAAAACAATAGTATTATACGTAGCTCTAAAGTAGTTAGTAACATTAAGGCTTATTTGTATCTCGCTTGCAACCCGGCACTAAAGCTGAAGATCTATCGTCATTGCTAAAAAGTAAATTTCTAGATGTTACATGCGAAACTATTACACCGAAACATCCAAGCGTATATGCCTCCTTCAAACTGCCAATTGATGCCCCCCACCTAGACTCAGTTATGGATCCATCGAACTGGCCTGAAGGCGTATAAGTTTCCAAGTGTTTTCTGAGAAAACCGTTGGAGAGGAGTCTAACTTAGGGTTTGAAACCAGCCTTGATTAAAATCTGTCACCTCAATAGTCGGGGCATAAGTCGCAAAACTGAGGAAGTTGAAAAGTTGAGCTTCCCTCATGTGATAAGTTTTTCTGAGACTTGGTGTGATAGCGTCGAAATGAGTAGTTTTTATCTCAATTCTCATAAGTTGTCAGATTACTTTTCTCTTAGCAATCTAAGAGGAGGTGGTGTTGCGATATTTATTAGAGGTGATATACCTGTTAGTGTGATCAACTGAAAAATTGATAACGTAGAGTCATTATTTTAACATGCAGTAGACGGAATTGAAATCAACTCTCAAAAAATAGTCATAGCTTGCCTCGATCGCTCTTTTTCGGCCAGTGTTAATTTTTTTCTTGAGAATCTAGAGAAGTTATTCGAAAATTTGGGAAGACATGGTCAAGCCACTTTAGTATGTGGGGTATACCTTCAAACATCGATGAAAGCTGTCGGAAAGCTAGTGTTATTCCTGTTGATTTCTCAGACCACCTCCTACAAATGGTTTCATATGAATTACTGTCACCAGTATCGTTCTTTCGTCATTTACTATGAAAGAAATTTCAACGGACAACGGTTGACGAAATTTTGACATGTGTATATCAAGGACATATCTGTGAAGCATTCTGCAGGCGACGATGGTAGAGGTAACTCAGAATCTCGTGAGCTGTGGCCTTGAATGCGCAGAGTGCAGAAAAAATACGCTGGAAACGCAACTACATTAGCTCAAAATATACAGGGTGGCGCATCGAAATCGAAACAGACGCATTTACTGGCAGCTCAGTTTTTTTTTGAAGATCAATACATGTTATTATGGAAGGAATGTGTTTTCGATATTGTCCTTCAAACCGTGTTAGGTAATACGAAAGAAATGCAAAACTTGAGGAAAGATAAATAGAAGGAAGATTATTTTGAATAATGAAATTAAGCGATTGATACAATTACTGATACAGATAGATGTTGGGAGAGATATGATCTCTTTCCAATTTTTCACAGTTCAACAAGTATGCATAAGTACGCTAAGTTGCTTGACAACTGCTTTTTTGTTCATGCAATTGTCTGCCATAAAAATGTCTCTGTCTAGGAACTGAATGACATTATATCCCACTGAATGCCCTGTAGGGTTAACATGTGAAGCTAAAGCACATCTTTCTGGATGCAGTCTGTAGTCACTTTTATGTGAGGTTATTCTACCTTTTAACGATCTAGAAGTTTGACCTATGCGAAAGAACAGTTCTTGCTTTTGATGGAATAGACAATATTGGATAAACTAGGCGGAGGAACTCTAACGTTCATTTTAAAAATACATTGTTAGCTGTGAGGGCCGATTCGTAAGCAATACGACAATTTATAGTGTTGCAAAGTCTAGAAAGTTTCGGTGTTAGGTCTTTAATATATGGGAGGACTGCAAAATTAATTCTGGAATTTGAATGAACGTCTGTATTGTTGTTATTGTTGGAATGATTGTCATTAGTATTGTTGGAAGGATTGGGGTTATTGTTGTCATTATTGTGTGAGAGCGGTGTAGCTGTAGGAAAGCTGCATATAATTCTGTGAATCAGGTATCTGGGATAACCATTATCAATGAATAATTATAATTATATGATTTTAATTATTTGATAATTTTATTCCTTGTAGATCGTTCTTCTTGAGCAAGAAGCAACAAGGAAAGACAGACCTAACATTTTGTCGAGCATATATATATATATATATATATATATATATATATCTTATGACACCAGTGGAGGAGGATCAAAGACGAATCTACTTGCAGTATCTGGATGAAACTATGTATAGCTTATTTGACAGAACTGCTGAAGATGTGAATAGGAATGAAACTTTGAAGCGAGTTATACTAACTCAAAATAATTATATTTTGGATGCGCTGGCCCATGAAAGAGAATACTTTAAAATCAGGTAAAGAGAAAGCATTAAACACTTCAGTAACTTAGAAAGTGACTTTGAAATTGATAGAATTGATCATGGAGCGGTAAGATTTGGGTGGCATTTACTCATGATATTTAACAACTAAAAGTAAAGTTATTTAAAATTTTATTACATTATTGCAACTTGTCAGGTTGTCTGAATTTTAATTTGTTCATTCTGCACCTCAGCATTACTTTGGCTTTAGAAAAATGGCGTCAAGTATCGATGCGAGCTACAAATGCATTAACTGTGATGGTGAGTCTTCTGACAGTTCTCTAGAAACCATTGTGGATTCAACAAATAGAGAAGACGCACCTTACTCTATTCAATATGAAAGACTAAAACGTGAAAATGAGCTGTTAAGGAAGCTATTACATGAAATGGAAGAAGCGCAGCCATCAAGCGACAAGAAGGAAAAAGTGTAAACAGTCTCATGAAGACAACTACGCGACAGATAAAATCAAATCCAGGGCGGATGGTCGGTAGAACATGGAACGGCAGGACAGTCACAACAGCTGTTGCCGGCAGTTCGCATGATACCTCCGGTACCACTAGATGCGATTCGGACGAGGCTTGTCACAAGACCACTGTTGCGGATAACGCATGGATCGATGTCAGGCGCTCTGGCAACAGGGAGATCCAAAGCAATAGTATTATACTTAGCTCTAAAGTAGTTAGTAACATTAAGGCTTATTTGTATCTCGCTTGCAACCCGGCACTAAAGTTGAAGATCTATCATCATTGCTAAAAAGTAAATTTCGAGATGTTACATGCGAAACTATTATACCGAAACATCCAAGCGTATATGCCTCCTTCAAACTGACAATTGATGCCGCCCACCAAGACTCAGTTATGGATCCATCGAACTGGCCTGAAGGCGTATAAGTTTCCAAGTGTTTTCTGAGAAAACCGTTGCAGAGGAGTCTAACTTAGGGTTTGAAACCAGCCTTGATTAAAATCTGTCCACTAGTTTTTATCTCAATTCTCATAAGTTACCAGATTACTTTTCTCGTAGCAGTCTAAGAGGAGGTGGTATTGCGATATTTATTAGAGGAGATATACCTGTTAGTGTGATCAACTGAAAAGTTGATAACGTAGAGTCATTATTTTAACATGCGGTAGATGGAATTGAAATCAACTCTCAAAAAATAGTCATAGCTTGCCTCTATCGCTCTTTTTCGGCCAGTGTTAATTTTTTTCTTGAGAATCTAGAGAAGTTATTCGAAAATTTGGGTAAACATGGTCAAGCCACTTTAGTATGTGGGGTTTTAATATTAACTTTGACGTTACAGCACCCAATACCTCTGCCCAATTATGCGAAGCATTATGTAAATGCTACAATTTCATCAGATTTATCAACGAATATACTCAAGTTCAATTACACTCCAAAACTATAATTGATAATATATTTTCAAACATCGATGAAAGCTGTCGGAAAGCTAGTGTTATGCCTGTTGATTTCTCAGACCACCAGCATCACATAAAAATGTTTCCTACTGTTCCATCGCACTATTTGCGGAAAGATACCAGAAAAATGTATTTAGAAGAAGGATTAAGCATTCAGAAAATGTATCGTCTCTATCTTGAGTACTGCGAAGATTCTAAGAGAAGTACAATTGCGACATTAAGGCAGTACCGTGATGTTTTCAATGAAGAATTCAATACCAGCTTCTTCAAACCAAAAAAGGATCAGTGCGAAGTTTGTTCCGCCTATGATTTAGCTGATGATAAGAAAAAATTAGAAATGCAAGACTCTTACGATACTCATATAAAAAACAAAATTTTAATTCGTCAACTCAAAGATATAGATAAAACTATCACTTTGTGTGGCATGTTTTGACCTCCAAAAAGTGCTCCCTACACCCCAATCTAACGTGAACGACTTTTACTACAAAAGTAAATACTCGACCTATAATTTGACAGTTTTTGATATTGGGAAGAATAAAGGATTCTGTTACGTCTGGCATGAAAAAATAGCCAAAAGGGGCTCGAATGAAGTGAGTAGTTGTCTGTGGAAGTTTATACAGGTTCTGAAAGCAAAAGCTATAAACAATATTATTTTCTATTCTGATAACTGTGGAGGTCAAAATAGAAACAAGTTTATCTTCTCAATGTTTTTGCTTGCTTCAGACGTATTTCAGGTCAACATAACCCATAGGTTTCTTGAGAAAGGGCATACCCAAAACGAAGGAGACAGCATGCATGCTGTAATCGAATGTGCGAAGAAACGACAATCTGTTCTTTACGTTCACGAACAATGGGTAACTTTGATTAGGATGGCAAAAACTACTGGTAGCATTTATGATGTAACTGAGATGTCGCAAACAGATTTTTATGATTTCAAAGATATAACGGATATCCAGACATGGAAATTAGACGAAGATAAACATTCGCTTAAAATAAGCAAAACAAGAGAAGTATCTGTGCTGAGATCAGATTCTAAAACTGTGTATTTTAAATATAATTTTGATGCTGCCCCTAGCAAAATTGTTGTTGCGATTAATAATCCAAAAACTAAAAATACGAGAGGAAGGCCGAGAGCAAAAATAATAACTTAAATTGCTATATACGTCCGAAATACCGATAGACGACAAAGCATTGAACGGCTTATTGTGGCTTTGTAATACTGCAAAAATACCAACTATGTATCACGATTTCTATAAAAACCTGAAGAGCTCTAGTAATGTAGACCGAGATGAGGATTTGGATGAAGATTGAAGTCACTCTGTTATCTTGGTCGTGAATATGACCGATTTTTTTGTTCATTTTTGAGGTCTTTTTTATTTTTTCTCAATGGTTGTTTAGTTCTATGCTGCTATATATTTTTTCTTAAAGTAAGAGCTGTAGTACTGTATGAGTGTATCATTAAATAAATAAGAAAATAAAACAAATACATGCATGTTTGTTTTGTGCCTATTTATCTCTTACCTTCCAATGAAAACTATCGTATTTCATCAAACTAATGTTACCACGTTCCTCTCAAAAACAAGCTTATTGTGTCAGAAATGAGTCTATATTGATTACTCGATATAGAAAGTATCAAAACTTTTACTTAAAACGCCGATTTATCACAGTTGCTTGAACCTTTAAAGTCGATTTACTCAAAACTGTGAATTTTGAGTTACAACAGTTTTCGTTGGAGCCGTCGATTTGTTCGTCTGAATAGTTATAAACTTCTGTATAAGTAATCCATTCATTCGAATTAGTCAAGGACTCAGGGAAATATAAGCTATTTATTTCACCTTCAGGGATTATAACGGGGCTATTATTAATGCTCACTGCAACTTTGATAAGAGCTACCTCGTATGCATTTATCGTTATGCTATATGGTTCAGTGTCAGGTTCACGGGAAAATATGGGAATACGCAATGAGTCACTAATTAAAAGTTGATTAGTAAGGTCTATGTTGAGATTTAAACGTAATATTTGTTTTAATCCTAATATGCCGTCAAAAAATGGATGGAGATCAAATAAAATGAGTGATAAAATCATCTGATTGAAATTCTGGGAATGATGGCAGATCGGCTTTAAATTGAACTTCTTTTTCTCCTACGCCTGTCTTTAATCTGGAAACTGAATGGTAAATACGTTCTGGAAAGTATTTTTCTACTATTCTAGGGCGTATCATCGAATGTTAACATACAGTGTCAATGAGTAATTTTAAGGGTGGATTTTGAATTTTGATGTAGGGTAAAAAGTTGTCAAGATCGGAATGGATTTCGATTATGTTTTCTGGATGCCTTGGCGCTTGTAATAAAAATTTGGGTTTGATTCATGATTTGTTGACGAAGAGGCAGAGGCATGTTGAACTTCAACATTTTGAGTTTTTGAAAATGGTTTTGGATTTCTGGTTGTTTCGGGTTGTTCGGTTTCGTAACTTTCGTCGTTCTCAGTGTCATCTATTTGATATAATTCTTCCGCAATGAAATTTTTGGGTCCCGAGGGCTGGGAATGATTTTGCCTTTGGGGATAGATCGGTTTGTAAGTATTTCTGGTTGAAACTGATATAGGCTGTGGGGGATTATTCGGTATTGTTCCCCTGGGCTTGAAGACGTTCGTGTTTCTGGGTGGTCCGAAAACTTCTCGATTTGTTGGATAGCGTTTTTGAAAATTATTATTTCGACTTTGGATGTTTATCGGCTGACTTGGGAAATTATATATTATAAAATATTATATAACTTTGTTGAAAATTCGACTGATGAGGTGCTTGACATTTTTGATAATGAAAATTTTGTTTAGGTGCCTGAATTTACAAACTTTGCATGTGGTTTGGAATATGAATTTTGTGTGTTACTACATGGAGTCTTTAAATGATTTGGAGATTTGAAAATGTTTTGCGTATACTGGAAGTTTTTTTCTTCAATAATATATGCCATTGATTCTTCTAAAGACGAAGGATTTTTCAAACGAATAACCGTTTGTAAAGGTCCTGATAAACATTAGCTCTCAAACAGATACCGTCGTACTGCTTCATCATTGTGACTTTCACTTCGGGCGTTGCGTCTGAAATACTCAATTTCGGGGCAAGAGTACTCCTTAAAATTTGGATTCCAAAATCTAAGGGTGACTCGTTTCTATATGGTGAGGCTAGAAATAGATCTTGTTCCAAGCATTCTAAACTTCAATTATCACCAAAATACTGCTCTAAAGCATCTTTTATTAAAGACCAGCTATTTAATTATGTTCTACATCCAACTAAAAGTTGAGCCCTACCAACTAATTTAGTCTGTACCACTCTCAATAAGTATCTCTTGATCGTTTCTTCAGAAGTGTTGAATGTGTCGAATAGATAATCAAATGATCAAATGAAGCTTGGTAGTGTATTGAAATTACCATCAACATTTGGTATTGTATCTACAAACATGCGTAACATTTTTAAGTTAAGAGACCAGCTATCCCTCTTAATGCCGTAGACATGCTAGCATGCCCCACTTAACGCTATACGTCCTTTATCTGAGAAATTGTGAGATATGTTTTTGTTTGAACTCTAAGCTAAAAAATAGCATTTTTTTTTATCTTGATATGAATACCTTCTGTAAAATATGATGGTAGAATAATTCGATTTCGGTACGTCTCGAGTCCTGTACGTCCTTAGGTGAATAAAATCTTACTAGAGATTTTAAAAAGAATTTTTTTTTAAACAAAAAAATTATTTTGTAAGCTATTTTCTGGAGATGCCATTTCTTCGAATTCTGATTCTGAATCAGTATTATTAATTCTTAAGTTATTTACTTCGCTGATAATGTCTGATAGTGATATAAAATCACAATTTTCAAAATAATATATACTCCAACTACCACGAAGGCCTAATACCCATTGGGTACCGTGGGGCTATAGGGGGATACAGGGGAAAGGGGGAACGCCACACGGACTCTGGCGAGGGAACACCTACGGACAATCACCATATCCATAGCCATAATTTTCTGTCCAGCACCTTGATATCATTGTATCTCATTTGATGCCCTGATGAGTTGACGTGTGAAGCTAGAGCATATCTTTTTGGATGCAGTATATATAAGTTATAGAACTACTAGAAGATGTAAGATGCAACTCAGCACCTTTACGCAGCGCCTGGCAACTGCGAGAATGTAATATGATATTTTCCTTTGTCTTATCATTCAAATGAACATTATACTTTACATTTTGTAATTCAGTTTAGAATCTAGCCTTCACGCCAATCACTACTTGATCTTTGGGGGTTGTCTACGGCTTATAGGCCAACCCTTCGTCGAGCGATTAACCAAAGACGAGCCGAAAAAGTCTCGCGTCAGCTAGGAGAAGGAATTCCAACTTGGTGGATCAAGTAGCCAAGTGAGAAGACGTCAACCAAGGACCAAGAGAATATCGGACCAAGGCGAAATCTCTGAACCTTCAGCATACAGGGCATGGAACTTCTAGTGGTATCGCTGTAAGTACTAAATGCCGTTTAGAGGACTCGAAAATATTAATTCTGAAAACAGTGATAGCGCGGAATTGGATTCTGACTCACCAACAGCCATTACAAATATTCAATTTTCAAGACCAATTCTTACAGCAACAATTTTAAATGTATCTAGTATTATTGAAAATCAATTAAACAACGTAACAATGACTACCAGCTCAAACAATGTACCTTTCCTAAAACCGGAATACTTGAACATGATTCGTGATTTCTATGGTGGACCAGAACTATTACCCAGATTTTTTGAAATTTCTGTAAAGTTAGTCACGAAATTTTATGATGCAAATAATCCAGATGACTTTCAAAATGAATATTTGATATCCAGTTTGCTCGCGAAGATAAAAGGAGATGCAGCTCTCAGTGTTTCTTCGTGTCACATAAAAAAACTATCAAGATTTAAAAAATGCTCTTCTCATAAGCCGAATCACTTTAGGTGAAATGCTCAAAATTCCCAACAATCACAATTTAGACCACCCTTACCTATCACTCATTATCCTCATAACCAAAATTATCGTAGCCAAAGCAATCCCAGACAAGCACATAAACCTAATGTGTTTAAGCCAAATCAAAATCGATAATTTCCTAAGCCTACACCTATGTCGCTCAGTGGGGCAGAATCCTAAAAAGCTGGCCAAAAATTTTTGAGTTGTATATATTCATCTATATACGGTTAGATCTTGTTTACGGATAGCCCTAGAATGAAATTCCCGACAGGGCAGGTATATACTTGCTCTAGGGTTACCTTGACATGAATCGACATTCAGCCGTCGTTCGGTACGCATTAAGCTAGTGTACACGTCGAAAAATTCTGGCCTGTTTCGAAGTGCTGTAAAACAGACGAAACTATCTCAATTTGAATTGTGCAAAATGGAATCACTTTCTTAAGGTATGCAGAATATATAGTTATGCACAGTTGTTGCTTATTTTATGTTTGAAATATTTAAATTTTACAACAAATAAACATAAGCAACTGTACATTTTTTTCTAAAATCGATTTTCTAAAGTAGTTTTAAAAATGTCTTCGCGAGTCTCGATCTTGTTTCGACAAGGAAGTGATAGTGTATAGTATGAAATATAATATAGTAAAAATCTGGGTGTGCTCAACGAATAGTTAGACTAATTTTTAGGCAGAAATACGTGGCGCAACATTAATAGACGTGTGACTGTAATGCATTGATTATTACGTTACAGTACGTTGGTATATTTTCTGTTTATAAACATTGATTAATGTTATTCTAAATGTTATTTTACAGGTAATTTCGAGCGGGTATGATATAGACGAAGAAAAGTTCAAAGACTATTGTGTAAATACTGCCCGTTTATTCGTTGCTTTATATCCATGGTATTACATGCCAACATCTCTACATAAATTGTTGATGTACAGAGCAGAAATTGTAAAATATGTCCTTTTACCGATCGGACAACTTTTTGAAGAGGCCCAAGAGTCACGCAATAAGGACATTAAGAAATACAGATTAAATAATGGAAGAAAATGCTCTAGGGAATCGAATTTGAGAGATATCTTCAATAGGCTCTTAGTAACGTCAGATGAATTTCTCTCAAGCATCAGGAAATTGCCCCAGAGACCGGCGAAATATTTACATAAAGAAGCTCTACAGTTGTTAAAACAGCAAGTCACCAGACAAGAGACAAGGAACGATTCCGATTTAGATACAAGTGGGTCAACATCAGAATCCGAATCGAATGATTCGAACATTGAAGATGACGTACAAGATTTTTGTTACTAGAAGTAAATAACAGATATTCATTTTGTTGCAAATTTTTTATAAAAGAAATTTTTGATAAATAAAAAAAATTGATCGCAAGATTTTTTACTCTTTAAATACTAAAAATATTATAAAATATTTTCTATTTAAAAATATTAAAAAATTAAAAATTTTTGCGGAATCCTCCATATATCGCGTCTGCTATTTTGAAAATTAACATTTATTACAATTCGTAATCAGCGATTACAAAAACCATAAACAAATACAATTGGGTATTTTTACTGGATTTTTTTTTATTAAAGAGAGCCGCATCAGCCAAATGGCTATTAGCGGCTGGATTTGAATGTCTACAATTTGTTTAGAAAATTACAATCATGAAGGTACCTCATGAGGTTATTGACAATACATGAGGACCCAAGAATGTCAGTTAACGATAGATTGTCTATGCCAGCGGATATTCTGTAGATTTCTAGTAATGGACACTCGATCAGGATATGTTTCACAGTGAGTTTTAATTCACAGATGTCACATATGGGTTCTGGGTCTCCTGTGATGAGGTACTCATGGGTGGCTCTAGTATGTCCCAAACGTAGGCGTGTGATCAGCGTCTGTTGTCTTCTATTGGTGGTGATGGGAGTCCATGGTCCTGGTTTTATCTTGTGCTCGAGCAACTTGGAGGGATAGTTCCGCCAATTATTGTACCAAGCATCGATTATAGCGGGCTTCAAGTGGTTGATTATATCGGAAGAAACTGGGAGTGGGAGGTCGGTTGTAGTGTCCTGCTGTGCTGCTGATTTTGCATTTCTATCTGCTGCTTCGTTGCCCGTGATGCCAACATGTGAAGCTACCCATAGGAGTATAATATTGCGATTTTGTGTTGCCAAAGTATGGAAGAGTTCTCTAATTTTGGCGGCTATTGGATTTTTGGTATATATTTGTTTAATAAGCGAAAGCGAACCTAGTGAGTCTGTCACAATTACCCATTTCGTGTTTCTACTATTGTTTATATATTGAAGAGCGTTCCGGATGGCGTGTAGTTCTCCTGTCAATATTGTTGCTGCGTCCGGTATTCTTATTGTTACAGTATCAGTAGGTGTGACGACAGCTGCTCCAATCTTCAAGTCCGTTTTTGAAGCATCCGTGTACAATATGTCATACTCAGGGTAGTTGTTTATCGTTTCCTGGAATTTTTTTACGAGCAAAGATGTTGGTGTTTCCTGTTTGTTATACTTAGTGAGATTCGTGTTAATTTCTGGTTGGTGTATAATCCATGGTAGAGTAGTAGTAGCGTTCATTGACAGAACTATCGATAGAGTTTTAGATAAGTTCATTTGCCCCAGGATAGTTTGAGACCTATTATAAAATGGGATTCCGCAAAGAGAATTCCGGTTTGCGATCCTTCTTACGGCTTGGTTTGGAGTTTGGAGAAAAGAATTAGGGTTGATTTTCATTGCATATGCTATTGTGGAAATCTGCCGTCTTATGTGTAGTGGTGCTTTACCTGATTCAATGTATAGGCTGTCGATTGATGTTGTTCGGTATGCTCCTAGTATTAGGCGTAATACCGAGTTGTGCAATGTATCTAATGGTTTCAGTACAGATGCTCTAGCTGATGCATATACTATACAGCCATAGTCTATTTTAGACCTTATAATGGAACGATACATTTTCAGAAGCGTTTTGCCATCTGATCCCCATTTTTTGTTTGATAACTATTTCAGCATATTCATTCCTGATTGACTTGCTTGAATCAGGTATTTGATATGCTTCCTAAAATTAAGGCGTTCGTCGAATATGATTCCAAGGAATTTGATGTCTTCAGCGTATTCTAGCTTTTCATTGTGAAGCTTTAAGGTGGGTTTGATACAACCAACCTTTTTTGAAAATATTATGC